TTTTTATTTAAAGGCTTTTAGTCCTGATGGTCGTTGGTTAATAAGTGCTGCCATGGATTGCTCTATTAGGACTTGGGACCTTCCATCTGGGTGGTGAGTTTATTTTTAAATTCCTAACCAATATCAAAAGATTTCTCAGTCATTGTCTCAACATGTGACTTTTTACCAGTAGTTAATGGATTATGTGCTTTTTGAATGCGAATGTATTAGACATTTTTCTAACATGACTATATTTTATTCTTAGAGTGTTTTTGATCTATAAGCAGCAAAGAATAGTATCATGAAAGATAATAGTGAGAAAAACACTATATCTGTCTTAGGTTTTCTGTTCCTGAAAAATTGAGATATAGAAGTGAGTTGCATAAATCTTAAAAAAGGTCATTTGGCCTTTTTAATACTCCAAAATAAAGCTCAAACTTAAGGACTACAAACTTTTAAAGGTTTTTTAAAGTTCATATTGAATTTGATTAAAAGGTCCAAAACCCTGTCTCTGATATAATTCTTCAAAGAAGGCATTTTAGATACTGTCTTAGTCTGTTTTCTGTTACTTATAATAGAATACTGAAACTGGGTAATTTATAAAGAAAATAAATTTATTTCTTACAGTTATGGAGGTTAAGAGGTCCCAGGGCAAGGGACTGCATCTGGTGAGAGCCTTCTTGCTGGTGAGGACTCTCTGAAGAGTCCTGCTCAGGGAATCACTTGCTGAGGGAGCTGAATATGCTAGTTCAGGTTTCTCTTCCTTGTCTCATAAAGCCACGATGATAACCCATTTATCCATTAACCCATTATTCCATGAACAGACTAATCTGTTCATGAGGGCAGAGCTCTCATGATCCAATTACTTCTTAAAGGCCCTGTCTCTCAATACTGCCACATTGGGGATTAAGTTTCTATGTGAGTTTTGGAGGGGACATTCAAACCATAGCAGATACCTTAAAGTAGTGAAAATATGTGTTTCTTTGGATTTGGGCAAAACCCAGCAGTGTTCAGAAATCTGTTTCATGAATTGAAATTTGCTACTAATCTAGCACTTAAAGAGAAAATATCCAATTTTGTTAAATAATATGAGCAGTGGAGACCAACTCAATGTGTGTGTGCATGTTCATGCTTTGTTAGAAATTAAGTAAGTGTAGCTACCATTTAAAATTGTTATTTCACAAACAATTGCTTGGATTGGATATGAAACAAGGAAGAATGATAGGAATAGCAAAGCATGTGTTTTAATAGGAACATATCATAAGGAAAGAAATAGGTGAGAAAAATGAGAAGATGGTACTTTTTAATGCTGAAGTATTCCTAAATTAAGCTTTAATTCTTCTTCCTCTTCCTACTGAGAAATTGGATAAGTTCATATGTGAAAACAGTTTGACCTTTAGGAAGGAAAAACCCTGATGTCCTCATTTCCTTTCTAGTTTGATATAGGCCTGAGGCACATCTGTCTATCCAGCATGTACACTAAATTTAAATAAGCAAAGCTGAAAAATGCCGCTGGTAGATTTAGCTCTAATAACTAGGGACTTTTGTATGTCTAGGTGTGTGTCTTTTTCACTTAAAATAGAGTAAAGCAAATGTAATCACTTGCATGTATTTCTTAATTAAAAAATATTTTGTTAGAGACACTATTAGAAATATTGGTAGTCTGTTGTTTCTTGGACTTTTGCTACTTTCGAAAAATGAACATTATATAATTTGAATTGCTTTAAAGTAAGAAAGTTGTACAAGTAATAGAGCTGACATAATGCCCTTTTCATCTTCCTTTTTAATAGTTTCGTTATAGTTCACATTCGGTGGCAGAGAGGTTAATGTTCAGTAATACTAAACTGGCAAAATGTTTTTTTTAAAGTGGCAAGTTTATTTTTGGAATGGGAAAAATGAGGATCTGAAAGTAGCATTCAAAGCCACCAACCTTTAACTCAGCATTACCCTTTTTGCTGAATGTCTTACTTCATTAAAAAGTTGAACAGATTTAAATCTGATAGGTTTTCAACTGTAATATCTTATTTTTAGGTGAACAAAGGAAATTTTAAGTGAACAGAGAACCATGAAGCTGAGTACAAAACAAGGACAAGATATGAGACACGTAGGATTGTTAAAAGAAAATGTAATTTAAAAAAAGAAAATGCAATAAAATCTACACTGGTCAAAAGTGTATTTTTACAAAAGAAAAAAATAAGTTCTTTGGTTAAAATTTGAAGTGGAGCAAATGAGAGAGCTTAGCTTGAAAAGCAATTTCAAACAACTGCTGCTGCTTAATTACAACTAAGCTAATATTTACTATCTGCTGCTAGGCACTTTATATGCTTTTATTTTTCATATCCTTATAGGTGTAGGTACTGTTACTGTTATTAGTCCCATTTCACAAATGGGGAAATGGAGGTTCTTAGAAAAGTTAAGTGATTTGCCTAAGGTGGCTTATTTGTAAATGGCAGAACTTAAAATAAGCATAGCAAAAAGAAATAGGTTTCCCAATAGTTGTGATATCACCCTTGCTCAGGTTGTGTCATGTTTTAAGGATTGACTAATTTTTTTGATGTAGAAGATAATAAGGAAATTAGGATTGGAATTTTATCATACAACTGTAGGTTAACTGTTGGGTTTTTTTGACTCTCCTCTTTTTATAAAATATAATTAGCATGGTAACCTTTGGGGATTCCTAGTTCTTCCTTCAATTAAATATTTAAAGAATGAATATATTCATTACACAGCTTAAAAAGAGAAGCTATTTATGAGTAAGCCTTTGAGTGTAGTAACATATGGGTGTATCCATCTGGAATTGTGCCTATATAAAACACATTGTATAGGTACTGAACTGTTTGCTCATTGTAAAGTTTTTTAAAAGTGCTGAAAAATTTTTTGTTTCTAGAATTCTCAGAGAAGCAGAGTTAAAATTTTTTGTTATCTCTGACATGATGTCATTCCTCTACCACTGCCACCATTCTTTATTTCTGATTGTTTTTTGATCTAGTGGAAGTTCAGGTTGAACTCTTTGGGGGCTCAAAAATATGTAAAATAGTATTAATATATTTTGCATTTTGTTCTGTCTCACTCCGCCCCCACTTTCTGAGGAGCATTACATGAGAAGAATTGGAATATACCATTGTTTTGCATTTCTTACTGAGGCAAAATCATCCCTTTGCTTTACTTTTGATTTCTGTGGAAGGTGATTTTATCACTTTGGAGATAGAACGTCTAAAAACTGTCTCCATTTGTTCAGAATAATAACCAGAAACAACTTACTGAATATTACCTGTAAATGCAAGGCTCTGATCTTTCAAATCTCATCCCTTAGAATGGGAATGCTGTTAATACTCTTTCAGAAAAAAATTGTAAATACTTGGGACTTTTCATTTTTTAGTATTAGCAGGTATATGGTAGTTGTAAGTATGGGGTTTAGCCTACACACTATACTTTATGAATTTATGTGGCAGTTTAAAATATGCTGTGTATGTGGAAACCACGTTCCTCAGTTTGGTGGTTTTATGTAAGGCCAGTCTGGAAGGCCAGTCTACCCACACACCACAGCTGTGGATGTGAAGTTACATAATGAAATTGATGAAATAATTACAGTATTAAGTAAAATAAGTTTGCCGAAGCAGTCAGTTCTCTCCTTGACAGATTCTAAACATGTTAGGAAATTTCACCCCTCACATTTATAAACTTTTAATGAACAATACTGTTCAAGACAAAGGAGAAAGGACAAAGATTTGAAATCGCTGTGTTTTAGTTTAATCTTCCTCTGTATACAGTGGGATAATATCTTCTGCTCTGGCTTGTTTGGATTAAATGAATTAGCATAAATTAATAGATGGCAAATAATAAGTGTTTAGCAAATATTTCCTTTCCCTAAATTCCCTTGATTCCTAAGAAGAGCCATTCTTGTGAGCTTCCAAAGCATACTTGAGCAGAAATCAGGTTATTATTGCTCTCCTTTTTTTCCCATAACTGAGAATTAAACAGCAGCCATTTTCCTGAACACACTTTGTTGTGTGTTTGTTTCCAGTGCTTCTAATTGTAGTTTTTTCTTCCCATCTTTGCATTCATTATTTAAGGTTTACATTTTTAATAGATCTTTCAGCAAATTGAGAAAGATTTTATCATGGGTAAGTCACTTAATGTCACCACTGGAGAGCCTTCATTGACATTTGAGTTGCTCAGAGTGTGTTCCATGAATCACTGGTATAGGCATACACTGAGGATGTGTGTGCTATCACACTGTTTGTTGTGATAGTGTACACAAATCACAATCTTTGTGATTTAAAAAAAAAAAAAACAAATTTCTACCTCTCTTATCCCTTGCTCTTTTCGCAAAAATATTTTCTTGAATTATATCCTTTTTGGTAGACTGCAAGTATTTAACATCTTAATTCTTTTTTAGCCTTATAGACTGCTTTTTGTTGGACTCGGCTCCTCTCAATGTTACTATGTCTCCTACTGGAGACTTTCTGGCAACTTCCCATGTGGACCACCTTGGAATTTATCTATGGTAAGTTCTTTTATACAGTCCTGTTTGGGGATGAGGAGGAGGAAGATGATACTGTCAGAGAATCATAGTTGCTCAAATTGTCATTTAGTTTTTTTAATTGATAAAATGGAAATGTCACACAATTAACAGTTAGTGACTTCATCATAAGTTTATGATGTGTTCAGCATCTGTTTGATATTTAGACAGCTTTGTTCAAGTGCTTATTCTAAATTATGTAATTGATTTTTATCTCTTAGATGATTGGTTTTTGTTATGTGATTCATTTTTATCTATCATATTTGGCTTTTATTTGAGGAAAGGGTAAGTGAATTTAAAAAGGCTAGCAAAAGGGAGTCCCCAGCCAGCCCGTGGACTGCTTTCCAGCCATTACTGCTTTATGAACCTGACCAGTCACTTCTGAAATTCAACCTACTTTATTTATAAAATAAGACACAAGTGTGGGCATAATGCTTTCTAAGATTTATTCCATAATAGTTGCATGACTCTTCATAACCATGTAAAGGTATTTTGTGATCTTCAAATTCCACTGTGATGAACCTGCAAAGGGACTGCTATTGCTCAAAGTAAATGGTACATCACTTGGGTCTAGAAAATTTTTTTTTGTCTCTATCTTGAGTTCATACATCTAATTCTTTAAACTATTACTGGGTAAGAGAAAAAATTGATTCCTTTTCTAGATGTAATTCTGAAATATTTTAATTACATTTTAAGATACAAAAGTAAATTTAATATATAATAGGAATAGACCCAGGCCACCTTAATATGCAAAATGAAGTATCTGCTAGAATCTCTGAGGCTGCAACAATTAAGACAAGAAAAGATTAGTAGCTATGGGACCTCAGCAGCAGAAGTATAGAGACCTTCTCTATATTCTACTACTATTAATGTAACTCAGAACCTGAGATTCCCAATTTTTATTTTCCATTCTAGATTCATGATGTGTGGGGAAAAAGAATTTGTCCTCTAGTTTGGGACAGTTATCTATGTCTTGATTGTCATTCATGACTAGGGCGCAGGCTCATGTAGCAGAAACATGGCCAGCCACTTAGCCATTCTAGTGAAGGGAAATCCATGACCTTTCAGCAGCCCCAAGAATATGATCAGCATATTCACTCTGACTTACTCTCTGAGTCCATCTTTCCTTTTGTTATAATTTCCTTAAATGAAGGTTGGTATTTGTCAAAACAATGTGTATGGGGGTTATTCACCTTATAAAAGCATTATCCATTACTGGTCTGTCTTAAATAAACATGTTTTTGTATTACATCAAAATTAGAGACTCCATTAATACTGTTACACAGCTTTCTTGTGATGGCATCTGATATAAATCAAGGCATTTTCAAATTAATGCAGTCTATCTTTGAGGTCTTTTCTTAACTAATAAAAGTCTAGTCAAATTCAAAATTGTAGAGATTATTGCCAGTAATTAAAGCTTCTTCGAAGAAACTGTTTTTATAACCTTTAAAATATTATGTTTTGATATCTTAGGTCCAATATTTCCCTGTATTCAATTGTTTCATTACGGCCACTTCCTACAGATTATGTCCCTTCAGTAGTGATGCTTCCTGGTACTTGTCAAACTCAAGGTAATCACAGAATTGCAAAATAATTTTTGAGGTGAAGTATTACAAACCTTATATAGGGGATATTACTGTTGAAGGCAAAGATTAGTGCATTCAGTCAAAGTGTTTTTTAACTGATGTAAAATATTTTGAATGTCTTCATTAATTTATGCAAATTATAATTGAGGTGGTATTGGTAAGATATCAAATTGAATACCAGTGAAGAAGAGGTATTTTGGGTCTAGTGATAGGCATTATAGTTAATGTGAGAAAATAAGGAAAAAAGGGGGATAAGGAAATGAAACAAATGAAGAGTTTATAAGGCTATATTGAATGAGTATGTTATGAAATACAAATAGATTTGGAATGAATTAAGTTGCTTTTACATGATAAAAATCTCATTTTGCATTAATTTGTTTTATCCTCCATTTTTATTTTTTAAGATGTAGAAGTATCAGAAGAAATAATAGAACCAAGTGATGAAATGATAGAGTATAATTCACCAGAACAGTTGAATGAGCAATTGGTGACTCTTTCACTTCTCCCTGAATCACGGTGGAAAAATCTTCTTAATCTTGATGTCATTAAGGTAATACTATAGTAAGTACTCTTAATATTGTGCCCTAAGCATACATTCCAGAAGTTTTTTTAAGCAGAGATCGCTTTCCCTTCTTTGAGGGCAGAAGAAGGAGCGGTTAATGTCTAAGATGCTGCTGTTTAATCAGTTTGGTATGATTATCACCTGATACTTACACACACACACACACACACACACACACACCC